ATAGGTTGTTTTTTTTAAAATGGAGAACAAGGATGTTAATGGCCAATCATTATGTATTGATTGAGGTCATGATTAGTTAATGATGATTAAATTAATAAATTGAAATGTATGGTGTATCAATGTAAGGTTTTGAAACAGTAAGTGTTCTCGTAATTTTGTAAGTAATTTACTTTGCTGTTTCTTTGACTTTCTTATTATTACCATATGATGATTCAAATTTTGATATATTGGTATATGCAATTAAATATTAGGTGTATGGTATTATGTGACTTTTTAAGTGATTGTTTGGTTATTTGAGGCAAGTGGATTTCTAAACCCTTGATAAGTGCATAGAATCATGTATTTCCTTGTGGTATGTGTTGAGGAGTAATGGCAATTGGTGATGGGTTGTTTTTTAGTGTTGTATAATTCTAATGATGGAAAAAATGGGTAATAAAAGGCAATGTTATTAATTATTGATGTGTGATGTTTGAGAATGATTTGAAAGGCATATTAATTAATTATTGATGTATCACAGTTGTGTTGTTGTGAATTGTGCATTGTTATGAAAATTGTCATGTCCTCATTATTTGTGTGAACATGTCATTTGCATTGGTTCTGAGACATGATTGTGATAAGTGTTATGTGAATTGAGGAAGAATAAGAAATTAAAGAGGATGTACCATTTCTAGGAACGTGTCGCATGCCGCAACGGATTCTATTATCCAGGGACGTATCGCACACTGCGACAAATTTTATTACCGAGGGTCATGTTGCATGCCGCGACGGATGCATGGATAGATATGTCCCCAGGGGTCCCCGATTGAGATACAACGGGTGTGTATCGTTGGTTTAGACATGCATCACTATACTTGACATTGCTTTTCATTGCATTGAACATTTTTATCATTGATGAACTTGATCTTGTGCGTTGTTGATCTTGTGAGTGCCTTTATGTGGAAGTTGTGATTTATGAATATTGAGTTTGTTGTTGAGGATAAGTAATTTGTAAGAGTGTTGTTGTTAAGCTGAAACTTTTCTACATCTTTGCACAAAAAGTGTGTTCTATGTAAACTGTGAACTGTTAGGTTGGCTGGTTTTATGCAGGTTGTAGTTGTGCAGGTTCAGATGGGGTGTAAGGAGTACCCGTATTCTATTCTCTTAGCTTGTGTTTAGAAGTTTACTTGCTGAGTACCGTGTGATTTGGTACTCACCCCTTGCTTCTACATTTTTGTAGGTTACGAGCCCGAATCTTCGTGATACCTTTTATTCTCTTCTTTGCCGATGCTTCCTGTGGAGATTTGTGAGGTAGTTGTTTGTCATCTCAGTAGACCTTCTTATTCCTGTTTATGATTTTTTGTTTTACTTGAGAGACAACTTCATTTGAGACTTACGTATTTTCTTTCAATTCTAGTATTAACATTAGAGGCTTGTGCACGTGACCACCAGGTTTCGGGAATTTATTTAAGTTAACCTATTATCCATATTAGTAATTGTTATTGAACTTCTATTTTTATTTTATTTTCGTACTTTATAGAAATGGTTTGGATATAGGCTAACTTGTCTTGGTGGGATAAGACGAGTGCCATCACATCCATTTTTGGATTGTGATAAAATGGTATTAGAGCCCAAGTTCATAGGTCTCACGTGTATATAAGCCGAGTTTACGTAGATTCTCAAGGATCGGTATGGAGACTCACGTACTTATCTCTTAGAGGCTATGAAGACTATTAGGAAACTTCCTTTTGATCATTCAAGTTATCTTCCCTAGTATTGAGCTATTGTATATTCTATTGACAGATGACGAGGGCTAGAGCTATTGTTACTAGAGGTAGAGGGGAGGCACTTTCCAAGACAGTTGTTGAGACACTAGCTAGGGGTAAGGTAGAGCCCAAGCTAGAGGTCGTGCTCGTGGAACGACACTATCTAGAGGTCGTTCCCGTGGAGCAGCACCCGTGAGGGGCCGTGCTATAGAGGTCTCTCCAAAGCCTCAGATTGATGACAGAGAGAACCAGGTTTCTCCAGAGATTGCAGCCACACCTTTGCTTCAGGATACATTATTGAGTGTGATAAGTGTGCTTGAGAGCTTTACTCGGGGTGGTGGTGCGACTGTCACACCACGTAACTCTCAGACTAGAGAGAGGGCTCAGACCCATGAGCATCAGCAAGCTCCAGTTATTCAGGATGCGGTGAAGCAGCCACCAGTGGACCCCATGGTGTGGAATGATCTTGCACCAGTAGTTGGGGGCCAAGTTGCACTTCCAATCGTTCTGACAGAGGATGAGCAACGCAGGTATGAGAAATTCCGGAAGATGGACCCACCTCAGTTTCAGGGTGGGAAGAGTGAGTATACTTATGAGTTTCTAACTACATGTCGAGAGTTGCTAGAGGCACTACAATAAAATGTACATACGACGACATTAATTTGGTGACATTTGAAACAAATGTCGGAAAATAAAGAATTTCACGACATTTAAGAACAAAATGTCATAAAACAATGACATTTGATGTCAAATGTCGTTAAAATAATGACATTTGGTATCAAATGTCGTAAATATAATGATATTTGGTCCAAAATGTCACTATGATAATGACATTTATTGCAAAATGTTGTTGTTTTTAGCGACATTTAGCGAAAAGTCATTTAAATGATGACATTTTGCTACAAATGTCGAATATAATATGACATTTATTACAAAATGTCATTGGTTTTAGTGACATTTAGAAAAAATATCACTTAAATATTGACATTTAATATAAATGTCGAATATATTATGACATTTACTGCAAAATGTCATTGATTTTAGTGACACTTAGAAAAAATGTCACTAAAATAGTGACATTTAGAACAAATGTCACTAAAATAATGACATTTATTGCAAAATGTCGTTGTTTTTAGCGACATTTAGCAAAAATGTCATTTAAATGATGACATATCCTACAAATGTCGAATGTAATATGACATTTATTACAAAATGTCATTGGTTTTAGTGACATTTAGAAAAAATATCACTTAAATATTGACATTTAATATAAATGTCGAATATATTATGACATTTACTGCAAAATGTCATTGATTTTAGTGACACTTAGAAAAAATGTCACTAAAATAGTGACATTTAGAACAAATGTCACTAAAATAATGACATTTATTGCAAAATGTCGTTGTTTTTAGCGACATTTAGCAAAAATGTCATTTAAATGATGACATATCCTACAAATGTCGAATGTAATATGTTTTAGCAAAAGTGTTGCTAAAATAGCGACATTTAATACAAATGTCAAATATATTACACAACTAGAATTTCGTTGTTTGCCGACTTCAAAATTGGTCGGAATGTAGTCGGAAAATGGAGTTTTCCGATGACTTTCCGACTACTTTTGAGAAGGCAGACTGAGCATTGGAAAATACTTGCCGACTACCATACTCACTACATATAAATTAAAACCCGACCATTAAAGTACCTGAACTGCTGACTATTGTAGTCGGAACGGTAGTAAATAATAATTTAGTAATTTAAATACTACTGACTACTGTAGTCGGAATACGTATTAAATAATAATTTATTAATTTAATAACGCCGACTATGGTTGTCGTAATAGTTAATTAATTAACTATTAGGTGATCTTCCGACTATTGTGAACGACATTTTTAATTTTCTAAACAATAATTCTATATGAAAGCTACTTTTAATAAACAAAAATGTTTTTTATTTTGGTACAACACCTGCTAAATTATACTACCATCCATCCATAAAAATTAACATAACAATACAAAACATCGAATACATTCCTAAACATTCAAATTCCACTTGATTCACATATTCACAATGGAGTCTAAAAGTTCAAGCATCATCAAAATCAAGTCTAATAAGTATTCAATTGTTATTCAAAATGGAAGTAAATAGTTTAAAACAAGTCTAAATCTCATAGAACACTACAACATTTTAGGCTTTTAAACACCCCGGTAAATTGTAGCCTAAACTGGCAAAACGTGTGCTCTTTGATAAAAAGCTACACTTTTTGACTTTAGGCAACACTTTTTAGGGGTGGCCTAAAGAAGCGTAACCTATGACATTAGGCCACACTTTTTAAATGCCGCCATAACAGCTACACATAAAAAGTGTGGACAAAGAGGTATTAAGGCAACACTTTGTAGTATTTCATTAGCAACACTTTTATTTGATTATACTACTTTTTAAAGTGTGGCCTTTGCTTTGTTATTGGTCATACTTTAAAAGTGTCGTCTTTTATATCTCATCTATAACAGAACTTATTAAGTGTAACTTTTCTTATGTACATGCTAAAATTTATAATCCATAAGCCACGCATTGGACGTCCCTATAGCCACACTTATGAAGTGCGGCAATATTGTGTAGAATTTTTGTAGCCACAATTTTTAATTTTTAAGAATAATAATTTTGATTTGCATGTATTCAATAATCACATAATTAAATATATAAATGATATAACCAAATTATAAAATAAATAATTCTAAGGTATATATTTCAAATAAACTTCGAGAAACGCTACAACATTTTATGTCTACAACCACCCTCGTAAAGTGTGGCCTAAAATATGAAAAAGTGTTGCCTTTGATAAAAGACCACACTTTTTGACTTTAAGCCACACTTTTCTAGGGGTGGCTGAAAGAAGCGTAACCTTAGAGTTTAGGCAACACTTTTATGCTTAAAAGCGTAGCCTAAAAGGCAAAAAAGGCCACGCTTTGATGTACCTCATATAGCAACATTTCTATCTCATACAACTACACTTTCAAGCGTGGCCTTTGCTTCCTTATTGGCTACGATTTTAAAGTGTTGCCTTTTCTATCTAATGTATGACAACACTTTGAAGTGTAGTCCTTTCCCGTGTCTGTACCACAATATACAGTCCTATGGCTACACTTTTAAGTGTGGTAATATTATTTTGGCTATAGAATATTTATATGCCATAATCTCTAATTAAAAAACACCAATATTGTTCTGCAATAAATCATCTCAAGCATTAAATTAACTAATAAGTAATTCAAATATATAGATTTGCAATGAACTTCAAAAGATAGTATGTCTTGTGTTACATACACATACTTATAAAGCAATATTCTAAATATGTGTACACAATAGTTCAAAAAGTACTCTTAACAATAGTTCAATAATATTCTAGCAATGAATATATTTCACAAAATCAAATATAATGTATTCAAACTTTTACAATAGTTCAAAAACTCTTCATCATCCACTTCAATGGGATCAAATTGACTTGCGGCGACCCTTCAAATTTGATCACCTCCATTTCCTTGCACAAATCAGATTGCAACAGTTATAGAAGAGGCAAGAAGTTCCAGATTGCAAAAGTTATCGAACAACAAATCAGATTGCAGATTGCAGCAGTTATAGAGAACAACAAATCTGCAGATTGCAGTTTACAACATGCAGTTCCACATTACAAATTGTAGATTTTTTGAGTTCAGGCAGCACTGTGTATTCTAGTAGATTGCAGATTTCTAAGGACTAAAACATGGAAATCACATATATATAATCAATTTAGACACATAACAGATCTTGAGCTAATAACCATTCATGCCTTCTAAGTCAATATAGTACTTATATATAAGAGCTAAGAACCATTCATGTTTTCATCTTTTGATTCCTCATAAACAAAATCAGCTCTTACAAAGGTTTAAACACGATCAGTGCTTGCATTCTCGCAAATGACACACCTAATTCTTGCAAAACAGAGTCAAATTATTTTTAAAGCTGACTTTGAATGCAAGCAGTGATCGTGTTTAAGCCTTCCGATACTGTTTGAACTCAAGTTCTCAAGGTGGAAAAAGGGGAAGATGACACACCTAATTCTCGCAAAATAGAGTCACAATCAAACAAGATCAATGCCAACTCAAGTACACTTCAGGCCAAAGAACAAGTGCAACAGGAGAAAGATCCAAAGACACTCTAACAACTTTGGTAAATATGTTCCAAATTTACAAAAAGATAGAAACATGATGATTCAGTTGCCTACTCACATTGATCAAACTACTCCAAATCCCCAGAAAAAGGCTAATAAGGACATAGTCCCTGAACCAGCTCCCTACACTATTATCCAATTATTTGTTGCTCGACTAAGATAAAATCAGGCTAAAAATGATATCTCTATTGACCTTGCGACTCCTATTATCACTACCAAGCAAGGACTGCCGGCTGGAGCAACAACTACACACAAATCAGCAACTATAATGATCTTGTTGTGCAGGATCAAACCAACAGCCAACAAGAACAACTAGACAAAGTTGAGGAAAATACAGTTGAGAGGTTCCAAAAGAGAGAAAAGTACAATTTAAACTTACGCATGTTGATATGTGCTCCCTTTGTTTCCATAAACGCTGATCCATTGATTCACCTGTGAATGGAAAAAAATAGTATAATATTATCACTTTAAAATCTAATAGATGTAATATCTAACGTCAAAGTAAAAAAGAGTTAGATAAAGCACTTTAAAATTTGTGTTATTAACATATTCAAATATAAGACTTGGGGTCTTCGACTGCTAATCTCTGACAATATCAAGTAACTTCACAATATTAGGTCTTGCACAAAGATTCTACAGTATCTTAATCTCACGCTTGATTTGCAGTAAGCGACAATAACAGATAAGTACCAGAGCTAAATAAAGCTGCACAGATATGTTGTTATAAATAAAAGAGCATGATTCAGAGTGCCAACAAAAAGGCAAATGCACATATAACTTGCAGATATATGATAGTCCATCACTTATTAGTAATCAAGAGTTACTACAGTAAGTTAACACAACAGAAAAGTTAAGAGATACACATGAAAAAACTCATTTGGCTAAAGAATGATAGATAAAGAAAGTCAAAACCTGGAAATATCTGATTGAGCTTGAAGAATATCAATAATACATTACGTAGCTCAGACAGATAGAACTACGAAATCACAAACCCTTTTAAAAACTTGAACATTATAAGAAACTACTTAGGATCATAGACACAATGACTTCCCAATTTGAAGAACATCAACAAGGCTTCTATACGTTTAACAAGTTTGGAGGAAAAAAAACAAAAAAATATTTATGCATGTAGTAATATGACATCAAGGATACTACAACATTACTACAGAATGTGGTAAATTAAGCTCCAGAAGGTGCAAGTAGCACACATTGAGGTTAAAATGAGAAGTCGCTTGAGATTTTTTGGGCATGTCGTCAACCTCAAGAGGCGCCAGTCCCTGGGTGTGAAATCATGTGGAGACCTAAAATAACATTAAGGAAGTTCTCTTGAAAGATTTATAAGGTCTTGGAATTCCTATAGTCAACCCCAACTTGTTTGGGATTGAGGTGTAGTTGTGTGTTGTGGTATATTAATGTCCAATTAGAATATCATCAACTGATATTGTTGTTAGTTCTGGTTTTGTTCATCTTAGAAAATGAGGTTCTACGAGTTTCTGTTAAGATCTTTGATGCTTCTCTTATCCAGTTGGATCAATTTCTTCTTCTTTTTTATAACGGTACTGAGGCTAGCTTGTGTGCACCTTGAATTCCAGGGGTATCTCCTACCTCCCACCAGCTCAAAAACCAAATAACAAAGAAAATAAATTGTTGTCTCCTACAATTTCTCTATTAAGCCAAACTTACTTCACATATGGAACAAAATAGAAACTAAAACCTATAAACCAAAATACAACACGATAAGAGATTAAACCTTTAACTACTTGTATTCAACATCTATTACGGTGTAAAAGACTAAAAGAGGGTGCCTTTCTAAAGCTTAGCAGAAACATGTGACTGAGTGATGATAATACTTCTAGATGTAAGTGGTTGATGATGTAAATCATGTCGAGTAAAAGGGGATGTCTCTAAGAAGATATTACCTAATTAGTTCATGGAACTAAAAGGAAAAAAAGTTAAGTCAGTAGTAAGTTCACGAAATCAAACTTAGGGAAAGGACTATAGCTTTGCGAAGCAACTAAAAGATCTACCTGCATGCAGAAAAATAACCCTCAAAATTCCTTTCTAATCATCCCAGTGCACCTTCTGTTTGGTTCCCAAGTTGGAGTGGTAGACCAGATCTTTCAAAACTCAATCATGTCTTTCTTTCTCATATAAGCCGATTCCAACATCTTAAGTGAGTATTATATTTCATTACTTACCAAAAAATGAGTCTACTCTAGTTTACACTCATATAACGCACAAGCAAATGAAATGTTCTCATCCTTTAAGCTGCAATAGAAGTCGTCCAACAATAGAAACTCAGCACCTCACAATGAAAATACTTAAATTTCTAAAAAGCATCAATTTCAAGAATAGATAGAAGCTTATTAACTAGCATTGAATACGAACATATAAAGAAGCAAAGAAGGAAACCAACCAACCTTTTTCTTCTTCACTGGCTTAAGGATTTTGATGATGCATTTTTCATTATTAGTAGTGTGAATTCCCTCAAACACCTCGCTATACTTCCCTTTCCCAACTTTCCTTACCACCTCGTAATCATCCTTCTCCCTATACACTCAATCAACAAACAGAGAAAACATCAATTCCGTCTAAACAACATCGAAAACACATATAATAAACAAACCATGTAGGAAATGACCTACGTCAAATTCCTTCATTTTAAAAAGAACTAAATGTCAGCCTGGGAAATGTTGAGGAGAGGAATCTGATACCATAATAGTTAATGACACACAAGAGACATAACAAAAAATGCAGTTACAACAGATTCATGAGGTTGAACCAGTCAATATTCAGTTTCCAATTTCTCAAGAAGATATCAAGACAGAAGCATTAAACAGGGTTAATTCACATATATTATAGTTGAGTAATACATATGGGGTGGATTTCAAAGGGTTTGAAAAAGAAACCATAGAATTGTTGATGAAGATTGATGAGAGGAAATTACAACTAGATAAGAAGGGGCCTGTTAAGCCAGTTTCTATCCCCAAAGAGTAGATGAATTGGAAAAACCGAGTTGAAAAACCTAAAATCTAGGTTGAATGAAGAAGTGGAAGGAAAAAGAAGTAGAGGGAGGATAAGATAAGATGTTTTAGGTACATATGTACAATTTTTATTTTGATAAAAAGTTGCATCCACAAAGTTATAACTATTGTGATGATTAATGGATATGAACTGGTAATTAGACTTTTAAATTGGAAAGTCAAGTGCCTTCTCATTGGGAGAAAGTTCATTTTTTGGATAAATGGTAGTACACTATACAAAGAAGGTTCTAGTGGGTTTTTGGTTCAACAGCAGAGGTAGCACATAGTAGATTATCTGTTTGATGTACGTGGCGAATTCAAATGTTGGCTAGTTAACAAAGGTTTGCATTTAAGCGGAGGAGGACAGAGGAAGAGCCATTATCCACTATGTTTTGGAGCTGAAAAGAACAAATTTCTTAATTAACAAAAAATAACAATCACCACAGTTGGAAGTTTGTTCTTTACTTACTACAAAGCACGTGGATTTACAGCACCTTTTAGGATTCAATACAAAGCCAGATTTAAGCGTTGAATTTGGTGTATATATTGATGGTTAATATCTTGGGGAATTTTAAAGTGTAAATGGGCTGGAACAATGAATAACAAGAAGGTAGTCACGTAATTCTGAATAGCAGGAAAAGATAAACTGTAGGAATCAGAACTAGATCCCACACGAACTATACCATGAGTTTAGAAAGTTAACAGTTGCAGGGTACAATTCAAAACAAAACGTAGTTGCTGGGGAAGTGAAGACAAATGATCATAAAACATTAAAATGATATACACACACCATACGACCTAATCTTACTCATAAAGTCAATCAGAACATAAGTGAATCCAACTACCTATACTACTTTTACTTTAGCTTACAGCCTTCCAGAACCGTACTCTCACAAACACACCCATGTTCTGCTTGCTAGGTGCAAGAGCAATTGTTTCACAAGGGTAAACTGTATTAGGAAATCCTTACAAAAGACTCCAGAAAAAAAAAACAACAACTTGAAGCTGGCAAAGTTCCTTTTGAGGAAAAAAGATGATATCTTTTTGTTATACGTTAGCAAAATAATCAGCTTTATACCAAACAATAGAGCAAATTGGGCTCGAGCATATACATTCTGCTTCAGAAACAATTCAAAAAGGACACATCTTTGAGACACAAATTACACTCCAAGAAAGATAGTTCACGCGTACATATCCACACAAGATACTACCTTTTCCACTGTCTGCAGATTTTACATAGTAACTATACTCAGGAATCCGGATAACCTAATAGCAAGGGTAAAACATGTAGTGCTGGATATTCTAAGGCAGGATAATCATATCGAATTGAGAGTCACAAACATACGAAAAGTTATATTTCTTCATAAAGCTTAGAATTGTGCAAAATACTAAGACATAAATGTATGAAATGTGAAGAAAAGAAAAATACCTTTTGATGGCAAAACTGCAAGCCTTGTACAACTTCTGCTTGGAATCTGACAACATATGCACATGACAGAACCTCGTAAGCGGCAATGGCACCATTGCCTTTGACTTACAACCATGAACCCCATACGTATTACTGATGACCGCATTCCTATCGTTCTCTCCAGTTCCTAGAGTACCATCCTTATTACTCTTATCATCATCTTCCTGAAAAGCACTCATTCCAAACATCCAACAATACTCTCTATTCTTGAGCTTTACTTCCTCCATTAACAACCAATAACAATCTTTGTATATACGCTGGAGTTACAGCCATGAATCCCATAGGGCAAAGAATCAACTGATGTACGTAATAGAACTGCGCGCTATACTCCCAAAAATTAAAAAAATCGTATCAACAAAGACAAGAATATCAAAACCCTAAAGCTAAATATGTAATCACGCGGAAGCAATAAACCCAGAAACCATAAATTTTGTCTTTTAAAGATAAATTTTTTACCTGATAAACTATATTCCAACAAAATCCTTTCAATGTGATGAAGATTTAAGAAATCATCTTCTTAACTGAAGCGTTTGTTCTGTTATTGAAGAAAAAAACAAAAATATCAGGTTTTGAACGTCTGGGATGAACAACGAAATTTTGAAACCATTCTTCAATTTGCTTTGACAAAAAATTGTAGTTTATGCATTGATGAAGGAATACCTCACAAGAATTTGCAGTTTTGCTTTGTGAAAAATTTCAGATTTGGAGCTTCAATGAGTTGAGCTAAGCCGAGCATTCTTTCTTCATGAAATTGGGGATTTCTTCATTGAGCTGAGAGCTGAGCATTTTTTCTTCAAAAAATTTCAGATTTGGACCTTGGGATTTTATGTTTTATGACTTATTTTATTTCCCAAATAACAATGTTAGCGGACTCTTGAAAATGTTGGAGGGAATATATTATTTTAGTGAAAAGTTTAAGGTCACACTTGTAATGTGTTGGTTTTACAATTATAAGTGTGGCCATATATGTAAATATTTGTTGCCAATTATATCATAATGTAACAACGCTTATAAAGTGTAGCTTATACCATTAAAGAGTACGCTTTACAAGTGTTGCCAATATTATCGAAGCCAAAAGTCAAAAACTTGGGATACGCTTTAAAAGTGTAGCCAAAAATATTTTGGGCAACACTTTACAAGCGTTGTCTAGATTTAGTGTAGCCGTAAGCCTAAAATGTTGTAGTGTTAATATCTTGCATGTACAACCCATACTTTGAAAGCAATTGCTTAAGGATATCTACTAGCAATAAATTCCACAAAATCAAATGCATCCAAACATATATGGCAACAATACAACAAATCTGTATCGTTCACTACAATCGAGTTTACTTCTGGCCACTATTCAATTTCAATCACCCGCATTTTCCTGCACATTCAAAATAAAATTTATAAGTTTAGAGAAATAAATCATTCTCAATACTAGTCATTTAATGGGTAAAGACAACAAACGGGTCAAGACCCAACCCAATTCAAATTTGCTTGAGTCAACTCCGGTAATGAGTTATAGAACGCTGGAAAACACCATCTTAAAACCACTACTCCACATCCTCTGGAAACTAATTCTTTAAATTCGTATTCAAACAAATGTATCAACATACAAAATTAACAAAATTGCAATTATTTTTTTTATCTCTTCTCTAACACAAAAACAGTTTTGGTATGCAAGAAGAAGAAGAAATGTACGACATATTGTGAAAGGGGTTTATGGTAGTGAACCATTCTATTTTTTCTTAAGAATTTTTACATTTTCACTCCCATGTACGTAATCTTTTCATTCTCCATTATTTGTTAGTTGGATGGGCTTATTTATCCTTTTTATGATAGTGATTTAAAGGTGAAAGATGTGGAGCAACAAAGCCTAGAGGAAATTCATTATTGAAATTCAGAGTTTGATTTGAGTATGTTATAAAAATCTGCTAAGTTACATGGTTATTGTGTTGAAGGTTAGGTACATCTGATTGTATGTGATTATATTCAAGGGCAACATTCTACTAAAAGCCTTAGATTCTTAAGCGTCAACTGAACATTGCAGTTGTGTTTGCTGAGGGAATATTACTATAGGATTAAACATCATGTGATTATGTCAAGAGGTTTATACTTCATTATTACTATGATGTTCATGGAAAAGTACATTTAGTGTTAATTTACAGTTAATTATCCTACTTCAAAGGAGTGTGGATGTATTTAATTTACAATTGTATTAATTAATAAATTAAAATACTAAATAAAAGAAAAATAAGTAACACATTAAATATTTAAATACTACTTCTTCTTCCTTTAATGACTTCCTTTAATAAGAAAACGGAGGATGCAAAACATAAACAATTCCTGCTTTAGTGTTTTAAACTGTCTTAATTTTTTGATAGTATTATCATTGTAGTTAATTTAGCATACAAATTAAAAGAAAAAGAATATTCTTTGTTACTTTTTCACTAATCATTAGCAAAATAGGATTAATTACTCTTAATATTATTTTAAATAATTAAAGTTAATTTAAATTTAAATATTTATATCTTGAACATTGAAAATAAAAAGTTACCATGAAAAAATTATAACCAATTCAAATTTTTACATATTTTTAACATTCAATTTATTTATTTTTTTTTAAAGAAAAG